TGCAGCGTACCATCAGGAGAGTACGCGAAGTACACTGCGTAAGCCGCGCAGTTTGGCCCAACCTCAAAGGCAGTGGATCGGCAAAATCCAACAACTCGGGATTCTAACGCGGTAGGTTCCTTATCGCCCAACTATGAAAACAGTGCAATCCCGATTGCACAGCATGCTTTCCCTGCCGAGAAAATCGCTTCAAACTTATACGCGCAGGCCAATCTTACCCGCATCTGGACGAGTTGGCAATTTCCTTCTTACCATTGGAGGCTGCCCGCCGCAACGCTATAACCATTGGGTCCTGCCACGATTTAGCGTCATCGGCCTTGCTCCACTCGTCTAATATCAAAGGGAAAGGCATTCAAAGACGCTCATTTTCGCCGTTTTTGAGCTTCCAAAAGCAGATTTTCGAGCAGAGGTGCGATAGTGGGAGCCGATTCTCCCCCTACCTTCACTTTCAAGCTGGCACAGGGAGAGCACCTTCACTTTTGGAATAAAAAATCTTTCGCTGGACGATAAAGAAGGAAAATGAGCAAAACAAACGCAAAAAAGATTATTGAAAGCATATATTTATGTATACGGCGGCATATATATTTAAAATAAACGTGTTCAGTAAATGGTGTATTTAGGACTAAAACTTAGCGAAACTGTACGAATTTTATTGAGCAAATTTTGTTGAAACGTACAGCGAAGAAAGTAGATCGATCCAGGCTGTGAAAAATAATGCGAAATTTCCACTGTTATAAATCTGTTGTTTGAAGATGTCAGCAGTTGCGACTTCATAGGTTTTAAAAAGTAAAGTGCTCTATCAGATAGTGAAGGAATCGAGTCGATTTGAGAGATAGTCGTTGAAAACCAGAATTCTAAAATTTATGCCATTTTTGCGTGTTTTTTGACAGTTGACAGTTAAACCCCTTAAATCTTGAATGTGAAAGTGTGTGATGTTGCGACTTCATAGGTTTTATAGAGTAAGGTTTGCCTTATCAGGATATATCTTAGCCTTCCGATCCATTGAAAAACCTCCAAGATTCAGAGTCTTGAAAAGCAGGTAAAAAAGCGTTTCTGAATTTCAACAGCTCATAACTTCTTCAGGACTGCATGAATCATGTTGCGACTTCATAGGTTAGATTCTTCTCATCGAGAGCTTTCAGATGATATGTAATGTGTGGGGGCGGGGGGGAGGGCTAGAGCCTCCTACGATTTATGCCCGGGGGGAGCCTTTTCATACCAAAGTCTCCCTCCCCCCCCCTCCAATACATTAAAGTGGGCTAGGGGGAGACTTTGGTATGAAAAGGCTCCCCCCCCCCACGGGCATAATTCGTAAGAGGCGCTAAACCCCCACATATTATATATCATCTGAGAGCTCTTGATGAGAAGAATCTAATCTATGAAGTCGCAACATGATCTATGCAGTTCTGAAGAAGTTATGAGCTGTTGAAATTCAAAAAGCGGTTTTCAACCTGTTTCTTCAAGAGCCTGAATCCCGGCGGCATCTCAATGGATCGGTACGGCTGATTTATAACAGTGAAAATTTCGTTTTTCATTTTTGCTATTTTGTCATTTGAAATTCTGGTTCTCGGTGTTACTGCCTGGATCGACCAACTTTATTCGCAGTAGGTTGTAACAAAATTTACTTAAAAAATACGTAAAATCTAGCTGGGTTTCACTTACAAATAGACCATTTGATTAACACGTTTATTTCTTTTTTTATTTCTATGCCGCTGTACTTACTCATCGTATTTGTGGCCCTTAAGAGGGCCGTTAGGTCACACTTGTTGGCCCTCAAGGAGACAGTTGGGTTAGAGTTCTTCAATTATCCGAAGTCCCCCTCCTCCCCTTCCCCCCCCCCCGGTCGAGTTTTTGGGAGGTGAGCGTCCGACACTACCACCTTCACTTTCAGCCGGCCAGTAGTAGCTGGAACCAACTTCACTTTTGGTGGGCCCGGCTCCCCCCTTCGCACCTCTGTTTTCGAGATCAGCGTATTGAAAACCCCAAGTAAGCGCAAATTTGATTAAGTTGAGATTTGCCGAGCCACTGCCTTTAAGCCGCAGTTCTTCTCATCGCGCGCGGCCTAATGTGCGATGACGGTCGCGATGAGCGAAGCCGCGCAAGCAGCCAATTATTATCTGTTTTACCTAGTACCCTGATAGCAACTTTCTGCTTTCGTTCTTTGTCTGGAAAACACCAAAAGCATCTTGGAATTGTGGCAGTACTATCGAAATCGAACGACAGCACAGTACAACATTATCAACGTTAATGAAAAACAAGAGAAAGCACCTCAATCATGGTATCCTTGAAAGGAAATACAACTCAAACTCCCGCAATTCGTCCGAAAATTTCTGAGAGGAGGTAAGAGTTACCTGAAAACATGAACATCCGCAGTGGGCAGTCATGCACCTGGTCTTCAGCTTATTATATCGGACACATTCTTTTTGAGCGCTTACGCGCCATTGCCTGCTGCGGCGGGTGCGGCTTATAAGCCGGGAAATAGGGTAATTTATAAAGATACTGTTTTTCTAAGATATGCAGTAACAAGAAAGCTTCAGCATACTTTGAACCCTCATAAACTCAGCCATCATTGAAGATAGACTGTTGAAAATGGCACCAACGGAAAGAGGAAATCAAGCTCTTAAGTGAAGATGCTGCTGGAATCTTGAGATTACTTCAAAAAAGGGACGAAAAATGGGCCAAGAGTGAGGCAAGTCTCACGAAGACTTGTCGTCACTGAAGATGCCATGTAAGCTAATAAAAGCTGGGAAAAGAGACGAAAATCTATGTCATTACAGAAGCGTGGTAAAAAGGTCTACTAAGTGGGGATGTGAGACTTTTATGGCAGCCGGAGACAGGAAAGCATACCTGACAAAATGCGATGATCGTGAATATGCATCCCCAAAGTTCCCAAACCTAGCAACGTAATCGAGAAGAATACAAAGGAAAATCACAAGATGATCGAAGGAGATTACAAAACATGACCTAGATGCCTTTTTTATATAATGCCTCCAAAAATATTAAAGGATCCGTGCAAGCGCGCACACCGGTGTCCCGCAGCCGTTCTTCAAAGGACTATTGACTGCTTGAAAGTCCTTCTCTGCAAAAAATGCAGAGTGTACTATTACGATTCTTTTATATGAAATGGTTTGGTACTGTTAGGTTGTTCAAAAAGTTACGCCAATTCTTTTATAAAGTTCAATAATGCATGCAATCAAAGGCGATGGTTTGACATATGGTTGATGCGAATGGTGCCAGAAGGTTTGATGTGCCAGTAATTCTCGAAAAAAGTGATCCTTTGCTCGAAATCAATCGAAAAGTGTACTGAGGAAAGGCACATTTGGCAGCTATGAGTTAGATCTGCTTTACGAAATGCTTGGATGGAAAATTCTGCACACCCTTCCTTTCTTCAGGTATATTGATCCGGTTACTGTTGATTCAATACCTAACGGTTTCTCCAAGCAAAACTACTCTGATATCAGAGTCCGGATATTCGAAATTTTGAGTTGTATCACGATATAATCAGCGCGCTTTTGAAAGATTAATATAGATACTATGCCTAGTCTGTAGACTGGGGACGCCAGCACACATAACCAGAGTTCTGCAAGAGGTCAGGCACAAGTCCTTCAAGAACGACCCCCCCCCCCCTGTGAAAGCCCCTAAACGACTCCTCCGCTTCACCTCCACTTCCTCAGGGTTTTATCTTTTGAAGAAGACCAGCTTTCAATGCAGGTTTTTATTTCTTAAGTCTGTAGGCTCGGCTTTCTGCGATTGCACAACTACACGCAACTAGGCGGCAAGTTTTGGATCTCGATAGCCCTCTTTTCAGAGCTATAATTTTCGCCTGGATGGCGTATTTGGCTCCAAATTTTTAGTATAGCAAGAAGAGTCTTTGCGCTCAATACTCATACTAAAAAAGGGGCGATTTTTGAGTATTGAAGGCAAGTTAATGGGGTCAGGCGCAACCCCTCAAAAGCTCAGGCGGCCTGACCTTTTGAGGGGTTGCGCCTGACCCCATTAACTTTATTTCCGAAGAAGCTTTTCTATCCAGTTTTAATATGATTCGCTAGCTCAACCCTCGAAGATTCAACAGTAAGTGTTTGAGCTTGAGTCGACTTGTTTCGGCCTTGTGCTAATCCGAGTAGTTGAAGCATTCAATGTGAAAAACGTGCCGGTTGGAATTCTGGCAGTACTTCTTACTTTGCTGTTTGAAAGCGATATGAAGCCTGATTTGTAGCATAGACTTGTAGTGAACATTACTTTGTTGTGAGTATAAGCTTACATTTTTCACTTTTGAAACCAAGTTAATCATGTTTGAAAATCACGTTTTTTGGACCTTGAGAATTACTAGAGAATGCAGAAGCAATGTTTTGTAGAGCGCATAGAGGTAATTTGACATGCTAATTACGGAAAGGATTCAGTTTTTCACACAGCAAGCTTCCTTGTCGACCTCATGATCTGTCAAGGCAAAATTAAATTTTGGATAACTTCGATTGTGGAAACAATCAGTATGCTGTTAGCGACCGTCATTCCTTTAGGTGATTGCGATATCCACCGGAACGCATTTCTTCCTCATCTTCGTAGTGTCTCCCCAACTGACAAATTCAATGCTTAATTACGACCCCCTTCCTCATTCTTACCCTCAATACGACCCCCCAGGTCGGGCGCGCCTGACCCCACGCTCAACCCTGCACATAACCAAGATATCGTTGATTGAGAGTCATTTTATCAAGACTTGAATGAAGCAACATAGCTCAAACTTCGCCTAACTTTTTGACTGACTTATATATGATGCACTCAAAAACTGATTTTGCAGAGGACGTTTTCTTTGCGTTATCTGCAAGAATTTTGAATATCTGTCTCAGAAGAGCTCTTGATGTTTACGCCTTTCTTAGGTGGAGCACTCATCTGCATTACGAGTGCAATTTTGATTGTACTATACATCCCTGTACTTTGCGTAAGTTTCTTAACAGTCTAGACTCCGCCGCCCCTTTCCTTTCGGGATATTTCAGGTATTTCGAATGGATCCTGAATTTCGAGCGGTGCTATCCTATAGACTGATGTTCTGGACAGGTATCTGTGATGTAAGCCAACTCATTATGTTTCTATTGGCTGGTATTATGGCTATGTTACAGTCAGCTTTCTTTCACCACTACATAAATAAGGTAAATACTCTACATTGAGTAAGACTGAGAAGAACCGTAAGTATTGAAATCCAATTAGCATTTTTTTCTGCTAAAAGTGGAATCTGAACATATCCCAAACTTGGGAGTACGTGTTTGCTTTGGAAGTTGGCAGTTTTAAGCTTTGCGGGTCCACCTTATACACGTTTTGGTTCTGTACATTATATCTATCAATCGTTACGACACTAAATCGTTTCGTTTGTGTCGTACTTTCCGGGCGCCACTTTGCTGTATGCAATTATCTAAGTAGCAATGTGAGATTTGCCTGTTAAAAACAAATTGAAGGTGATAATGTTTTTTGAGGTAATATATATTGTAGCGCTAATAATATTTGTGGTATCCTGGGCTGTCAAGCTAACGCCTTACACTGGCTACCTTTTCAAACCGTCAACGTTAAATTGGGGTTATGACGAAAACGGTATCCAGGTAAGAACCATTTGCGGAGCAACCTACAAATCTTCACCCAAAGAGATGCTTGATTGAATTACAATTTAGTATCTGGAATTTGAGTCGTGGTTTCGGTTAACAGAGAATGTTTCAGATTCTTTCCCGAATTTCGTATTATTTTAGCAACTACACAACTCTCTTTTACGTTGGATGTTGTATTACAGTATATTCAATCATAGCTGCGCGTATAGTCGTTGTGGTATGTTTCGTATGATATAAGAATCTTCCAATATTTTTCACGAAAACTCTATAATCGAGTCACTTTGTGCTCCACATGGAGCATTAGATCACGTCTTAATGTTTTTCTTAGTTTCACGCTATCATCAGAGCGACTGATGTTCAAAAGAAAATTCACGCTAGGTTTTTTTTGTGTGGGACATTACTTGTGTGGCACTGCACATACTAAGTACGAAATTACTCAACTGCGCTTTTTTCAGAGGAGAGAACCGCTCAAATGGACCGAAGTTGTATTGACTTTACAGCAATTTCTCGTTGCATCAGTTTTCTTTCTCGCATTCTTGTATTGGTACTATGTCGACACTGGGTTGGAACCTACGATTCTGACGAATTTTATTGGCGATCTTATATGGATAACCACAGTCGGTCTAAATCCGCTTATCTATCTCTTTGTTAACAAGTACGTTAAGATTGCTCGAAATATATTAATAGAATCGCTAATAGCAGAATTATTTGCGAAAGGAGGCTTTTATATATATGCAAAGATACACGAGCTAAACCAGAAGCGGCATGCAAGCAGTTCTGTGGGGGATGATTCTGCTGCTTTAGCAATGCTCCATCGACGATGCATTTTGAGTAATTTTGTGCACAATCCTCTATTAGGCGGACTGAACTTTTCGAATAAGTCCCATACTGCTTTGAAGATCATTGAACGCTGATTCGTAATACGCCTCTGAACGCCGAGTTATGAGTGTTACTTGGAGCACAAAAAATGAACGCAGAATTCAGGTAAAATCAACCGTTACGACTTTTCAGCGCTCAAGTAGAGCAGTTTGAATATGAATGTTTTAGGCAAAAGTTACCTACGAAAGGAAGTGCTTTGAGAATCAACGCTGGATCTTGAGCATATCTGGACGAATCTTTTTCGAGTTGCGCATTCATTTCCAACCCCAGAAACGCTCATAACTTGGCGTCCAAGAGCGTTTTCCAGATAATGTAGACAGATTTGGAACCATCTTTCATTGCCTTTAAAGGGTATAGGAATTACATAAAACGGGTTCGACCGCGGCCACTAAACGGCTTCCCGCTACTTGTTTGTAAACAAATCCCATTCAAAGTCTAAAAAATCAAAAATTGGCAAATGTGGAGGAGCTAAAACATGCTTGCAGTTCCGGTAGCACATGCGATCATGAAAAGAATTTGGGAAATATGGTAAGTTAAAAAAGCGAAGTTAACAGAGTTGAAAGCGATTAGAGCATTTTCTATCATAATTTCCCTTGATTCGCGCGAGGTCTAATGAGAAAGGATGCTTAGTCACTTTGGCCAGTATACCCTGAGACGCACTTTGAGTGCTAATTTGATATCTGTTTCGTTATCTGCTAAACGCTTATCTGAAGGGATTTTTAAACGTTTTTTTGGTGAAATTTACATAATTCTAGGTAATCAAAGTCATAAGTATATGAGGAGTTTGTTAGTTTATCCTATCCAACATCAATGAAGTATGATAGTAAAGCACTATGACTTTTTGGCTTGGTACACAGGCAGCGGTACAGGCAGCGTCCGAGCAAATATGAAACTCTGCAGCGTACAGGGGCTCACCCTAATAAAGCTCTTGCCCAAGTGGGATTGCACCACTTTGCTTCTGAAGCGAGAAAACCGCTTTAGAAGTGGCGACCGGAGGGTTGGGCCAGATTACGCTGGGAAAGCGGCCGCTCGGTATGTTTCATCATAGGAGCGTACGCGACGTACGCCGCGCAGTCTGGCCCAACCCGGAACGCCCCGGCGACTTGCCCGCCCTTTCAAAGGATAGCCAGAGTGCGTACGTTGCACACAGTCAAGCGTAGGACGACTGTGCGTCTTAAAGGCAGCGTCCAGGCAGATCCGAGCTCGACGACCACGCCCACTTCCCTCGGACGGCCAACTCTTTATGAACGAAATCTCCTCAGCCTTGACATGTTTTCACATGACCAACACAGTCGAACTTACAGCATTTACCTGTTAATACTTGCTTTCGACAAGGATAACATCAGACGCACTCGTCCGGGTTTTCCCAAAATAGCCCCAAAAGGTGGTTTTATGAGAAATTCACGCTTTTTGAGTTCCATATTCGGAATCAGCGCCATGGAAAGGCTTGGATAACATAAAAATATAAAAGTCGAGAATCTGCCTGGACGCTGCCTTTAACCACGGCGGCAAGCATCCATATCCAAAATTAGCTTCCGAAACAGCCTGTTCTCGACATTTTCGTACTCTGCAAGCTTCATTTTGGAATCAGCGTGAAGAATAAGCCTCGGTAAGCAAAAAAGTTTTGTTCGAAAATTTGTCCGGACGCTGCCTTTGATATCAAGAAAGTCGCACATTAAGTGCTATGACACTCACCATCAGTGCAAATCATTCTTGAAAGTCTTTGTAACTCAGTTTACATAATCGCTCCGCAGATAAGGAAAGAGTTCTTGAATTACCAAACAAAGATGCATGTAGTGACATGCAATCCTTTATGAATAACTATGGTCACCGAGTATCTTTTTCCTGTAAGAAACGATACGTGAACGATTCTTGAAATCTAAAACATGTTTTTTGTGCGCGTGAACGGGTAACAGGGCAGAATGCTACTATTTTTTAGATAATGTTTACAACATGCATATTGAAAGAAAAAAATTTAGGCGATTGCGAAAGTCCCTGAGAAGGATCACGAGGCCAAAGCAGACTACGACAGCTGTGGGAGGACTTAACACACTTAACACTGCTGGGTGAAGTCTATGATAGTGATGTCAATCATTGCAAAGAGGGCATAAATTGCTGCGAAAATGTTTTTATCCAAGAGAAGGTTATCATCATTCAGATTTGATTCATATATGTGCATATGACTTTTAAAGTTGTAGATCCTATGATTGGAAGTAGTCGTATAATTTGTTATTGCATCTAAGTTTGACAAGTGAATTATCCAGAGGTTGGTAGGTCTCAAAGAGATGTATATCACGTGAAGCATTTGCCGCTTATCTGAAATTTGTTTTTTGCGAAACAATGGAGGACCTCCTCCGCATTAAAAACTGTGATTTTTACAAAGCATCAGTGAATGATATGCATCAAAGGTTAGCTTAAGAGTCGATAGCTTAAGTGATGTTGAGTATACTAAAAGCGAGGAAGGAATACATCTACAAGTCAGACTAAAGCTTTTCATCAAATGTATGCCATTGACACTTCCGTGCCAAATTAGTTGGAAATTTCTGCACATGCTATGCAATGTAACACAGATTCACAGCCTTGTTGAGAACCTTTTTTTTCATGTTTTTACAGCCTACGCCTCATAACAGGGGATGTTGACTACGTGCTATTTCTGACCTTATATTTTCCAGGACACGTTGAATAAGGAATTCAAAAAAAATGTTTTGCGATCCGTTGTGCCAATTATGCAAGAAGGATAAGTGCTGCGAAGTTGAATTTTGCACTTTCAATTCAAATGTAGCGCAAGTCAGCCAAAATGTAGTTTTACCATAATGCATACCATCAAGTACTTTTGTTTGCAACCAGGATAGCGTAAGGTTCAGACTATTTTTAGTCAGTTTAGCTACAAGCCGTTTCTGTAATGACAATGTCGATGGAATCTATATTTGACTAGATTACAAATCAAAGTGTTAGAAGTGCATTCAAATTCTGACGGGGTTGCACTCATAGATTTCCACTGTGCTACATATATTTGACATGCCTTTGTACTAGTCAGCTCCTCCTTTTATATCGGTATGTAAAAGATAAGAGGCACTCAGACTCTCCATATATTAGCTTGTCCGAAAATTAATGTCCGTTTTGAATTCCAACCGCAATAAGTCATACTCTTTTGTCCCGAATAGCTTTCAAGGTACCATTTGATAGAGCAAAGCAAGCTCTACAGGAAGGCTATCTTGCTTCAACAACAGCTTTGATCCACCTCGAGTTTCGAGCCAAAAACTAAGAAGATTTAACTACCCGAAAAATAGAGAAAGATCGTAATTCAGTTCATAAAAATTCTACAAAAATTCTAACTTGCTCACGTAAACATTATCCACATAAGACATATATGTACGCTATTGCCGTATTTTTTCCTCTGTTAGAAGTCAAAAAAACGAAAACTTTCATACTTTTGCAAAAGTGATGCTGTGTCGTCCCCACATAAGTAGATGTATACTACAAATCTGTAAAAGTAAAAACATATATTTTCAGCTTTTTACAAGCTTTAGTTCTCGAGAAATTTGAATTTCAATTAGAACCACCTGACTAATGAAAGCTATATTCGATATTTCTCGAGAACTAAAGCTTGTAGAGAGCTGAAAATTTACGTTTGTACTTCTACAGATTTGTAGTATACATCTACTTATGTGGAGACGACACAGCATCACTTCTGCAAAAATATGAAAGTTTCCGTTTTTTTGACTTCTAACAGAGGAAAAAATACGGCAATAGCGTACATATATTTCTTATGTGGATAATGTTTACGTGAGCAAGTTAGAATTTTTGTAGAATACTTACGAACTGAATTATGATTTTTCTTGATTTTTCGGGCAGTTGAATCTTTTCAGTTTTTGGCTCGAAACTCGAGGTGGATCAGAGCTGTTGCTAAAGCAAGACTGCCATCTTGTAGAGCTTGCTTTGCTCTATCGAATGATACCTTGAAGGCTATTCAAGATTTAAAAAAAAATATGACTTGTTGCGGTTGAAATTCAAAACGGACATTAATTTCCGGACAACCTAAAAGTTGAGTTCAAATAAGTTGCTAAACCAGTCTAAAACTTCGCACTCCTATCCATCTCAAGTTACGCACGGATTTTACTTAAGATCTCTTGCGCTTTATAGCAGATACACTTTGGCAGCTACAAATTCAGTTAACGTCAGATAATGCATCATCTCCATCAGTTTTATTTTCCTCCAACAAAAATATCCTTCTCGTAGATTGGATTACTCGTTTGAAGAGAAAACAGAAGTGATCATTAGAGCAAGTTCAGAGGAAGTCTATCTAGATCACTGAGACTTTCTTCTGTTTTCTGAGAAACTTAAGCATATCTCTGAAAGAATTCTCAAAAGTTTGTTGTGGATGAGGAGTTGCCTTTGAAGGCAGTGTTTAACACATTGACGACAATACGACCCACCGGTGGGTCGTACGTGTCCTGCCATTTTGGACAACACGACCCACCGGTGGGTCGTAAGATTCATGAAGCTCTACCTTTGCCAGTTTAGGATGAAATTCTGCGGGGTTCTGGCACATGATCGGGGGCACTTAGTTGAAGCTCCAGCCAGAGTGGTCTGGACTGTAATGTAATGTTACGGTTGGTATACGGTAGACATCTATAAGGCACAAGCTTTAGCTCAAATTCTTCGTAAAATGATGCTGTTTCTGGAGAATCAAGTTTACATCTAACAAGGAAAGGGAGGTTGGTCGAAGTGGCCTTTTGAAATGAGATGTATAATTTTTTGTAGAGCTTGAAACGCTGACTCCAAATCTGCCTTCGCTATCTGCTGCGGGCTTCTGGGCGAGGAGTTATGAAGGTTTTTGTGAGTAAAAATCTGGGTGCAGGAGTAGACTTAAATCAGCCGTAACATTTTTTATACGGCTAAATTGGTAGTCGGGTCACTCAGTGCAACGAATATTCTCGATTCAAATGTACCAATTCACTGCTGCCTCATTTGAACATTGAGAAAAGGTTACAGTTGATTTTACCCTATTTTTGCATTCAGATTTTTGCTCACAAAAACCTTCATAACTTCTCGCCCAGAAGCCCGCAGCAGATTGCAAAGGTAGATATGGGGTCAGCGTTCCAAGCTCTACAAGGCAGTAAACACCTCATTTCAAAAGGCCACTTCGACCAACCTTTCTTCCCTTGTAAGGGTAATACGGGGCGGGCAAGAGGCTGACGTTAATCCACCAAAAAATTATCGATTTTATTGATTTTATTGATTTTTTGCAATTTTCGTCCTAGGAAGCTCGAACTTTGCATATATAGGTTTTGTAGCATGGTGATTACGAAAATGATAGTCTCAAGTTTTGATACAATCTTCTAACATCAGTTTCTTGATTTTGCACGAACTACCGTACTGCTACCGTAGTCTCACCGTGAGAATGTAGTGAACAAATGGACACTATAATCGTGATCAGCACGTGAAATAACCCCAATACACAAATTTTTATGAAAATCCATGATGTTGGGTTCGTACAGAATGACTACCGTAACCTTACCGTATAACGTCAAAAACTGAAATAAATCATATTTTGGTAATCAGCGCGTTCGATAACCCTTGTGGGGGAATTCTCGGAGACATGTTCTGAATTTCTTACAAAAAGACTACCATTTCGGACAATACGACCCACGGGTGGGTCGTAAGTTTGGCAGAGCAAAAAAGGCTCCTGTCCGGAATGGCAGTAATCGAAAAATCGGCCTTGTCGTCAATGTGTTAAGGATTTGTGGTCAAACGACTTCATGACCTAAACATTTCAAGCAGACTCAAACAATGCTAACAGTGACATACAAGTAACGTTTCTGAGTTGTAATCAAGAATTATAAGTGGTTTTAGCTGTAAGTGAATTCACTGGAGTGAGCACAACCCTGATAATGAGCCTACAGAATTTCGATAGTTCAACAACATCTTGCAAATCTTACAGCTTATGGTGCAATCTTCCCATGTTGAAAATGTACTACTTATTATTTACATCCGTTTTTTAGTTGTTGGTGCTTATATAATTAAGATAGTTTGGGCTGTACTAAAACGCATGTGATCTCCTTTCCATAATGCAGAACATATGATTGTGATCTAGGTCTTAAAGAAGCAAAGTTGAACATAAAAGTGATCTGACCAAAAGTGCACAGAATTTTACATGCGCAGTCAAAAACACTGCAAATGTAATCAATTCGTATTCGTTTCACTTCCGAAATTGTGTTGCCGCTTTATTTATTTGCATTAAGATAAGAATGAAATTTTAGTCTTGTTACCAAAACTTGAACTAGTTTTTGTCATGCGCATATAACAGTTTGTACCTTTTATTGATGGTGGCCGAAATCAAATTTTGGACTACCCTTTTATCAGTGCAACGCACCTTCATCAGAAAAAAAATTTTGCTTCCCCCCCCCCCCCCCGAAGTGAATTCCTAGGCACGCCTATCATTCTTTGCTTACATACTTCGCTTACTTACGGTTCGATTTCGTTGAGCAAGAAAACGAAAATAGCTGATTTTGCGGTCTTAGTCAATACATCTGCAAATCCGCTAGTTCATATTTTTGCGATATATTAAAGTAAAAGTTTCATAACCTAATGGCGACTTCGAAAGTGTCTCCGTTTACAAAACTCCATCGCTCCGCTATACGCAATCAAGAAAATGTTTTCATTGCGCCTGAGTATTGCAGTCCTACACATCTGGTGCACGAACTTCCTTGTAAATAATCAGCATTTAACGTACAATAAGCCAATTCGTCGCTTAATGTGCCGCCAGCGATAGCATTCGTTGTTATTTGTCAACTACCTTCTCGGAATTACTTGATGAGGTGGAAAAGCAATATCTTTACTTCTATTGCTTGTTGTGACAATCTCATATCTTTACGAGTCTTATAATAAGAGCACTTGCTTACCGCAACACTTCTTAAGCTCAATTTACACTCGTGAAGCCAAGTGTTTTTTTGCGGGGCTTTCAACATTATCGTGCGTAGAATAGTAAGAACACAAGAGAGTTTTGAATTTTACTGTCAATAATCTCTGCCATTGAGCTAGTTATCTGGTCAAATCTGCTAAAAATG